TAACAACATGTCAGTACTCACCAATTAAAAAAGTTTCAATTGTTTCTTCTTGTGGACACATTCAATGCCTTGCCGCGTGACCAATTTCACTCCAGGTCAGGAGATGTCTTCACATCTCGGAAAAATTGGAGTTGAAGTGCAAATCAGAAGGGTCTATGAATTAATTGCGACAAATTCATGCGCATCAAATGGAATAACTGCGACAGCGACTCGGAAAGGGCCAAAGGAAGAAGAATCAATTTTAATTTTTTCAAAATAAAAAAATCAAAATAACGTGTGTTGCTGAACCATCAGAAAAAACGTTGAATTTTACCCGAACACCCAAACAACCGTAAATCAAAATGTTCAATTGTGTGATGAAAGGAAACCACTTGGTGTGGAACACTGAATTTGAGGAAGCAAGAAATTATTTGAATTCATTGAAGACGAACCCTAGAATGACCTTTGAGCTCGGATCTATTGGTATGTTTTGAATGTTTTGAGTCTTTCTCATTGTGTTTTCATGTTCGAAATGAATCATCGTGTGCGTGTTCCACAACACAACCAACACGATCGATGTTGTGTGTGTCATCGGAATTATAACCATATTCTCTAATGATCCAATGTTGTGCACCATCGGATAATTGACCATCTCCACCACAAACCAATTTATATTTTCCAAAAAAAACAACATTCCTTTTATTATGTTCATATTATGGCGTTTGATTCATCTTTTTCCTTGTTTCTTGCTGGCCACTCCTTATTTGGATTCCTTTTGTTTTCGATTTGAAAATCTCCTTCTCATACTTTGATAGCTGCTCTCTCATCGAACATTTCAGGTGAAACAGCCATGAGAGAACAAGGCATGAGTGATCTTGAGAATGCCGAACATGCCTTGAAAAAGATCAGCAAAAAAGATGACATTCTGAAACTCGTCGAAGAATATAAGGCATTGAACAAGAAGTTAAAAGAAGCATCGGAAGACTATTACACTCACACTGAAAGATCACACAAAAACTTTGTAGAATTAGAAGAAATGAATGAAGAACAAATTCTTCACAATTTTGAGCTCGATTTGACACTGTTGAATGGAGAGACTCACTTGTTGAGAGGCATTCTTCAATTTCATGCATCCTCTTATTTGAAGGGATTTTACAATTTGAGAAAGGCCTATTTGAAATTTAAAGAAGTCTACACAACTGTTGAGAGCTTGAAAGATGAGCCAAAGACTTCTCCTAAATTTGTACACAGTGACTTATTGCATGGAGCTTATTTTGGATTGGGGTATGTTGGTGTTTGTTTAATTTAACTCTTTTGTTTACACAATGACCTATTCACACATTTCTTGACATTTCCTTACAATCACCATTTCAACATGTGTTTGTTTAACATGTGATTCATCCTTATGATCATGATTGTTTTCAATTTCGTAGTATATTCAATTTCATGCTTTCCATTTTACCTCCAACATTAGCAAAAATTTTGAGCGTTTTAGGTTTCGATGCTGACAGAGATCAAGGCTTGCATTTGTTGAAACAAGTGCACGATTACGGTGGTAGACATTTGGGCAATGGTGGATTCATGTTGTGCTTGAATTACCTCTTCATTCCTCGAGCATTACAAGACAGAGAGAAGAACCTCCAAGAAGTGTCTCCAATTTTGGAGAGAATTGGTTCTCGCTTCCCTAAGAGTGGTTTCTTTAAGTTTATTCACTCTCACTACGATAGAAAGGCAGGAGACATTAATTCTGCGATTTCAAATCTTAAGGATGCCATTCAAATCACGGCAAAGAGCATGGGCACAAAACCCAATAACTTTTTATTTGAACTCGGTGTTTGTTACATGTTGATCATGAATTTTACTGAAGCAGCTGCCATTATGGAAGATTTGGTCAAGTCAGAAAAAGAATTTGATACTAAGGGTATTTCTTGCATGCTTCTTTCAGTTTGTAAATTGAAGCTTGGTGACAAAGAAAGAGCCAATATTCTTATCAAAGACTTGGACAAATATGTGTCTAAGAATTCTCGAATTGATAAGTTTGCTCTCGAAAAGGTTGACTTGATTAAGCACATCAACACTGAAGAGGAAAAGCATTTGATGATGCTTGTATCTATTTTCCAAATTCTTTACTTGAGAAGAGATTTAGCGAATTTATCTGCTGACATTGCAGATCCACTTTATCAATTTTTCCTTAGTGTTGCAAAGGATGTGAAAATTGATGACAAGAGCAAGGTACATGGTGATATTGAATCTGGTATGTGTGTGGTTAAAGGACAATTCTTGAGACAATTAGGAAAGAAGGAAGAGTCTTCTGCCGAATTCCAGAAAGCCCTCACTTTTGAAAACAAGATCAAACTCGAAAAGCAATGGATTGCCTTCTCTCACTATGAAATTGCAGAGTCCTGTTATCTGGGTGATGTCAAGACTGAAACTGATGAAAAGAAGAAGCTCCAACTTTTGCATGAGGTAAAGAAGAGTTTAGAAAAATGCAACAAATTGAGCGGATATCCATTTGAAGAAGTGTTGCATAGTCGTGCCAAGCTTGCATTGAAACAAGTTGAGCATGAAATTAAGGAATTAGCTCAAAAGGAGAAATAAATTCATGTGCTGTTGAAGGCCAACCAGCTAGCTTGCTCTGACAAGAGATTGGACTGGAGCTGTTGTTTGAGCACTGACGTGATGCATTTACAAGGAAGTCTCTATTGATACTTGTCCATCTCGTAGTTTTATTTTGAATTATTTAGTGTATTGGTTCTCTCAAAGATCTAGTTGTTTCCAGAACAATCTCATTTTCGCCTTGTTTAATTGACATACCATGTAAAATGTACCAGCAAACACGAAAGGCATTCCAACAGTGTAAACGACTGACGCCATGAAGGGAAATTTGAAATAATTGGACAAGTTGTAGGGAAATGAGGAGATGAGACGATTCTCAGCTAGTACTTGCAACCATAAAAAGAAACATGTTGGGAAAATGGTAATCATATGCACATGGGAAAATCTAAATTGCAAATTGGACAACAAAACCTCGAGCAATGCAAAAATTCCAACAATTCCATGAACAGCATAATTATTGAAATTTTATGAGAAAAAATGTGATCGATCTAAACGTAATAGATATGAGTACTTACAAGTAACATTGTTGTCCAAGAGGTTTATATGGTTCAAACGATGAAAAAGCCCAAAAACCAACACAAACAATCAAACACGAAGTCATTGCGAGCTCTCCCATCACCCAAATGACATCCATCCAATGATTGGAGGACATGAGAGGAGATTTCACATCTTGTGAATCGTTACTTTTCTCTAAAGAACGGGTTTTGAAAAGGTTAAGTCTGAAAAGTGAAATACGCACAAAATAACACAAAGGTAACATTTGTGAGAAATTCTAAATGTGGTTGTTGAATGAAAACAAGTTGGTAAAGTAAAATAGTCACCAGAGACCACACACATGCGCATACTCTGAATAGGTATAAAGCTTTTCGAGAGGAATCTTTGCCAATCACTTGTGAAAGAATATGAGAATTAAACAGAAAGTGAGAAGGCTCCTTCTCCAATGAACTAATTACGACAGCGTTATTGTCCAATGAATTCATTGTTGAATTATATAAAAAACAAAAGACTTACTGAAATGAAGAATGTTGGAAGGAATCTTTGAACACCAAGTCAGGCTCCTCTTCGCAGGAAGTGACATTTCCTGAGAAGCTTTTGGATCTTTTTTCAAATGCTGGCGTTTTGAGTGTGGCAGTAGCGAAGGATGATGTACACTGCTTTTCAGATAAAGAAGGACGAGGAGCACCGAGATTCGTCTTCTTTGTGTTGTTGGTCTTGACGGAAAGATTTGAATTTGCGAAACCTTTAACTCCTCGTAACATCCTTCGAATATTCCACAACAGCAAAATTCCGAGCACTAAACCATTGTTGAGCATAAACAGCCAACTCTGCCAGTGTTTCGAAAGAGTAAACAATAAAATTCGTTTGTTAATTAAAGGAAGGACTAATGGGTTTGTGGGATTTTCTGCATATTTGTCAATTAACTTTATTCAGTAGAGTCCCGAGTATTAATTAAGATTTGAGAAGGTAAAAAACTCCAAAAACCGCTCAGGGGAAAAAAAAGAGAAAACCAAAGAAACGCAAGGAAGCAGGAAGGATGAAGGCAGAAGTAACGACTACATGATGTGAAGTGCAAGAAGTCACAATTAGGCGGCAGAGACGAAGACTCCATGATGTGAGGTCACATTTAAGCAATTGCTTGATAAATCCATGAAAATAATAATTTGATAAATCCATGAAAATCATGATAACATGATGAATTAAATAAATGAAAATTAAATAACAAAAATATATAGTTAGCTCAATAAAATCCGAAAAGATTCGAATCAAGGTAGACCTGCATTGTCACAATGTTCTTCCTTACCACAAGAACATTCCGATCAGAGAAAAAGGTACTTAAATAAGCTTAAGAAAGCAAGTGGGTGGGAGTGCGAATGGGAAGTCACTAAGAAACGCAAAGAGAGACTAATCTTAATTTGCAGAAAATTTTTTGAGCATGGAAAAAAATTTTTCAAGCTCAACCAAACTCTTTAATTGTTTACAATCGAAGAAGGAATGGGGACGAATAAACTCATAACGGACAAGGAAGTATTTCAAAGATGAGAAATGAATAAACTTAGAAGAGAAACTGCATATGCTTTTTCGTTGTTTTGTTTTTCAAGGTAGAGCAAGAGATACAAGAAGCTCGTTCCAGGACCATTTAATTCTAGACCTTTGAATGCATTTGAAACGTGTTATTTAAATTGAATAGGCTTTCATAAAAATTAAAACATTCCTTTAAGCTTGGGATGTTTCAAAGGTATTGGGTGGTTTCAAAGATTCAGGGGCGTTTCAAAGATTTTGGAGCTTTTCAAAGAATCCGAAACATTCCAAATCAGCTTCTTTTCAACTTAGCTTGGGAGTTTCAAATAAAATTTTGAATTGAAAAAAATGTCTCTCGATATCAGCAAAGAAGACGCTGTGAGATTGAGGGAAATCGAGGTCAAAAAATTGGTGGCCAATGAATGGAAGGTATTGCATGAAGAGCTGCCAATTATTCAGAAATCAAAAGGTAGAAAGGATATCAAGGATATTCCTACAATGAATAGAATTAAAGAAATAGTCTGCCAAAGAATTGGATATGTTGCTACATTCATCTTCTTACATACTGTTGGTACTATCTGTGGATGGTTAGAAGGTCCTTATCGTAATGTGGACAAAATCTTATTAATTCTTTACATGTTACTTGAAAATGAAACATTCGGATCCTTAAATGAGAGGAGAATTATCGCAAGGTCTACAATATGGAGAATTCATCACACAATTTTCGTTGAATTTCATGACCAACTTAATGAATGGGCTGACACTTGTTTGCAAAGAATGTTTTCAAATCCTATTATTCGATGTCTTACTGGTATAATTGAAAACGAAAAAGGCTTCAAGGATGGAACCACTTTTTTAGATGGTCATGATACACGTATTGAATATAGTAATTTAGCCAAATATCCTAAAAGGGAGTATTGGAGTTACAAATATAAAGATTCTGGATTAAGAACTCAAGTATTGATGGATAATCAAGAATTAGCAATTGCTATTTCGAAATCCCTACCATGTGCTCCTAATACAGACATTGGTATGTTCAAGCAAATGGAGAGAATTCCAAAACTATTAGATCCTAGTGTGGATGTATTGTATTTTGATGGTGGTTATTTCTTGGGAATTCCTGATTATATTGAAAAATTGCAAGAAAAAGGATATGATCTTGATGAGTCAAATTTCAGAACTCCAATTAGAAAACCAAGAAATCAAGATCTAACATACAGTGAAGCACAATATAATGAAGAATTTGGTGCTTTTCGTGGTATGATTGAAACATTATTCTCTCATATTGGTGAGAAATTCAAATTTTTCAATCCTCATTCAGTTGCTAAAATGAGTGGAGATTTGGAAAATGTGTGGAATTTAAAATTGCATTTGTGTTGTTTGACATTCATAGATTCGTAGAAAAATATAATATTCAAGTATTAGATCACCACAAGGAATGGATGCGTTCAGACTTTGATTTTCCTATAGAAAAGCCAAAATTATTAAGACCCTCTGTTAATGTTGTCCGTCAAAAAGAATATGCAGAGGAAAAAAGAAAAGCTCAATGTAACCTTATTGCTAAAATGTTGACAATGAGTGACACTGAATTAATGACACTATCAACTCGTGAAATTCTAGAATATTCACATAATTCTAATCCAGTACAAGTCGGTGATGAAGGATCAGAAAGCGGCTCGGATAATGAACTTCCAAGAAATCTACAAGAAAGTGATTCTGATAACGAAGGATCTGAGAGCAGTTCTGATAATGAAAGATTCAATTCGCAAGCCTCAAGATCAAGATCAGAAAGCGATTCGGATAGTGAAGGATCAGAAAGCAGTTCTGATAATGAAGAAAGATTGATATCACCAAGAAAGACACAATTCCCAAGAATAACCTCAGGCTCGGAAAGAAGTTCACAAGACTACACACCACAAAAACTTCCACAAAAAACTCCAAAATCAACTCCACAACCAAGAACTCCACAACCAAACACCCCACAGATAGTACCAACAGTATGTAAGAAGATGAATGTAGCAACATATCCAATTCTTTGGCAGACTATTTCTTTAATTCTATTCATTGTAGGAATATCCTTGATATCCTTTCTACCTTTTGATTTCTGAATAATTGGCAGCTCTTCATGCAATACCTTCCATTCATTGGCCACCAATTTTTTGACCTCGATTTCCCTCAATCTCACAGCGTCTTCTTTGCTGATATCGAGAGACATTTTTTTCAATTCAAAATTTTATTTGAAACTCCCAAGCTAAGTTGAAAAGAAGCTGATTTGGAATGTTTTGGATTCTTTGAAACGCGCCAAAATCTTTGAAACGCCCCTGAATCTTTGAAACCACCCAATACCTTTGAAACATCCCAAGCTTAAAGGAATGTTTTAATTTTTATGAATTTTGGAACCACTAATGAAACAAGGAACATGCTTTGGAATTTGAAATGACTAATGGGACTGAACCGAGCTTCCAAGACACAATAATGAAACGTTTCAAAGTGAAAGCGTCGTCGTGTTGGTGCAACAAGATTTGGTTGTCATTTTGAATTCTCCTTTTCAAACGGAGTATAATCTTTGGAAAGAATGAAGTGGAATGGTCCTAGCCAGCATTTTCATCATTCCCATAAATGTGCAAAGGTTTTCATGAGAGAGATGTTAATCACTACAAATTAGCAGGCTGGGACGTAGAAAAAATGGTTTTCTGATGGCAAACCACAATATTTGGAGGGGTCATTATTTTGGAATCTTTTTTCTTGTTGTTTGATTGACAATGCGCGGGAAGAAGAGCGTCGTCGGACTGCTAGTTGCAAATTGTCGAATTGAAAAACATTATTAGGACTTTTTCCATTCTTCCAGTGGAATTGTTTAATAACAAATCATGTCCGCCACCCTCTTCTTGCCTTCTTCACTTGTCACACCCAACAACAACGGCAGCAGCGTCAGAAAATCCATGGTCCTCCTTATTAGTTATATCGAAATGTTAAGTCATTTTGGTGTCACCATCTCACTCTCATTATACCTCCAACATGACCATGATGATGAGCAACTATCCTTCTTCCTTGAACACCAATCCCTCGAGAAGGAGTTCATCGCCTTTTTCATCATTCAATGGACGCCCTTATTCGATGGTTTTTCATCCAAACATGATGCACGCCCCACAGAACTTGTTTCCTTAATGGAGGAGATTCATTACATCACATACTCAACTCTATGAGAAGAGTGTTTATGTAGCATTGACAAGAGATCAACTTATTGGCCTTGAACAATAAATGGGCCAATAAAATTTTTATATTTTCAGAAATAAAGCAGTTCATGGAATTGTTGGATTTTGGCATTCCTTGATTTTTTTTAATAATACAGTGCAACAGAAAGCTGGTTCGCTGCGGCTGATGTTTGATGAGGCTCTTGTGTGACATAATGACAAGCGTATTTGAAAATGATAAATTTCAATAAATAATTATTTATTGAAAGAAATTACAATACGATGATCCATAGGGCACTGATTTTCCTCCTCGCCTACCTGCTAAAAACTGGTGCATGATGTATCGCATCTCATAGAGCTTGGTAAGAACTGGAAATTTTTCAAGGCCAACAGTTCCTCTAAAACAATAGCGCACTCTATTTCATTCATTGGGTCAGGAATAAACTTGAAGGGTGGTTCAAAAGAGGTACCTCTCGATTGTTGATTGTGTCCATGATGGAAATTTCTACTTGATTCATCATGTTCATGTTCACTGCGACTTCTTGAATCATCACTTCGATGTTCATCAAGAATTTTCATCCATAGTTGTTCTTGATTTTTCTTAATAGAGAGAGAAAATAGATAAGATTTCAGATCAAATACCGTTTCAGCCCAATAAAATATTCCAACGAATGAGGTGATGTTGAATGATCTGACGAAAACATATGGATTCGAATTCTTGAATATATAAACAATATTGGAAGCTTTTGCTTGTTCTTCCCCAATTTGCTCTCCAATGACAAACATTTCAGAAAGAATTTTCTTTGAAACTCGTTTCCCTTCTTCAAGATTTTCAAATTCATTTGTGTGTATATTAGACGGCTTGTTTGTACCAAATCTCACATCCATTTCCTTTACAATTCTTTCTAATGATTGAGTTTTTGCTCTCATTGGTGTGCTTGAGGAAGAAAAGACGTGCACTTTCTTCAAACCCTTCCTCATTAAATCCTAAATTGCAAACATTTTCGCACATACTTTCAATAAATGTTGTTAGTGCAATAATTCCCTCTGTGGAAGATAAATTAAAAATATCGGACTCTCTTATGGCGTAACCAAAAGATATTCCGTCTGAGCTATTGTGATCATCGTGTATCTTGATAGATCCCCAACAGCACCCACACAAGCACCAACAACAGCGGAAGGCATTCTCTTGGGTGGCATATCCAAAAATTCCCAATCCTTCAAGAAACATGCACTGAAACTTTGATACTAGTAAACCGTAAACTTTGATCTTTTGTGCATTTTTATAAGAATGTACTTTTTTTTGAAAAGGATGGACATACAGTCTTTAAGCATGCCTTTCATTTCAATATATATTTTAAAATGGTCTTTGTGTGTCCATGTTTCAGCTCTCTGTCCTCCACATTTAAAGAACACGAAAGGTTGGTCTTCAAAAATATGAATCTGAGCAAACGCGTCTGGAATAAGCCTTGCCTTGTTCTTGAGTGATGTACCTTTAACAGCATATGAGTCAACATATTGGACTGCTTCTTGACTTGTTTTGATAGATGAATGTTAAAAGAGCAAAATACACAGTTAGTATCAACATACGTTCCGAAAATAATGTTTTTCCTAAATTTAAATTGGTGATTAAGAATATTAACAATCATTCCCATCAAAGTGGATTCCCAAACATTATCAGGAAGAGACTTTTGTGATTGTAGAAATTCATTATACACAGTCATTATTCTTTGAGATGGAATATCCTTCAATTGAGCAAATATTTCTTCATTAATCATTGATCTTGAATCTTCTTGACTTGTGAGAATCTTATTTAGTTTGCTGATAAAGGAATAATAGTCCATCCAAGAGGAGCTCTGTTCAGTGGCCACGTTTAATTGTTCATGAAAAATGTTTGAAATTTCCTCATACAATGGATTTGTTGTAATGTCAATATTTTCATTCTACGTGTTTTGATGACGGACACAGGTTGCAATTATTCATTAAAAAGCTTACCTCAATAGAAATCAGGGAGTGGAAAGCCTATCTTCTTCATTTGTTGCAAATTTGAATGGACTTGCATCATCATGCTGAGAAATCTTGTCCAACAATTTCTTCACCTCTTCAGACTCCTCCAAACTGCTCTTCTTAATCTTCTTCATTTCTCGGCTTCTAGATGTCAGAGATGATGATGATCCGTATTTTGTTGGTGTCTGAGATGTACTTCTTTTCTTGCGAAAAGAGCAATCAACAAAACGTTGATGCTGAAGCAGCGTTTCAATGAGAACATGTTGTTGAGGTGCTTGTTGTTTTTTTTGATAGTAGTTTTTCCCTCACGACAAAGAGCGGATTCGATTTTTTTATGGCACTTTGAGGTTTGACGTTTGGCATCGAGTCACACAAATGAGAGACAAGAATGTTCGTTGCGAGTCAAAAGGGTGATTTTTACTCTCGAGACTCTCTGTGGATGTATTTGATAATTTTGGAAATTGACAATTCACTGATGCAAGACCTGCGAAGACATTGAAGAGACTCTCCAAACGACTTGCAGTTCGTTTCAATTTCTGAATTTCATCTCTGCATGACCTGTTGATTTCATTGACACACTCAAACAAAATCTAAACCAGTAGATTCACATTCCACACTACAACAGCCCATTTCCTTGGAGCTATTGCAAACTTGTCGATTTTAATAGTTTCGCATAGATGACCGACATGAATAGGAAATATTTTTGTTAAAAAGTCGAGCCCTTAAAAAATACCGCAAGATGAACATCAGAATTGACTCTTGCATGCTCCACAGCCTGGAAAGACGTTTGGAAAGAATTGAACAACAAGCGAATTAGATTTCAGCTACCCTCAAACAATTAAACGCCAAACTTAATGAATATATACGAAATGAAAAGAACAGAAATTGTGAAGAAAAGGCACGGAAGCCATTAGATCATTCGCATCACTTGTTACAATCTTTACAACATCATCTATGTGACGCAATCACCTTTAGAGAAAATCCATCAGTTGAGAAAACTAACGATCCACCAGTTGAGAAAGATGAGAATACATTATCAACATTGAATCAACCAACTCCATCAAAACAAGAAAAAGAATACAAGCCAAAGAACAAACCTCGCAAAACAAGAAGGACCACACAAGCTAAAAAACAATCATCCACCGACAAAGCCAAGCCAAAAAGAAAAACAAAGCAAAAGAACAAACTTCACAATCATACTAATCATGGACAAAAAGGCAAGATACTATATTTGTATTATGATGATCAGTGCTATCAACAATTCGATAAGAAACGTGTAATGAATGTAAGAACAAGAAAGAAGCATCTCACCTTATATTGGATCCAAGACTGCTCTCCGCCCTTCAACATTATTAATTGTTGTGACTTAGAACTTTGAAGACAATGCTGGTAATCGATACATATCATTATTAACATATCATATCCATCAACACTATATATACCTATTCATGACCTTTTTACAATAATTGACGACTCAACCTTACAAACCAACGAAACCATATGCATTAACAGACAAAACACTGCTTTATTTTTGCCTTCTGTTTGAATCATGGACTCAACCCATGTTAACAGTTGCTCAACACAAGCATGTAATCTGTTAATATTTGATATATCCTGTTAAAAACATTCGACATTCAGAAGTAGTATCTAAACGAAAATGAAGTCCAATGTTGTTTTATGACAAGTATTGAGGCACCGAAGGGCCAATAAACAATATTTAATTTTTTTTGGGTGTTGTTAAGGCTAAAATTTTGAACCTTGGCACAGCTGTTTACAAAACATCATTTTCCTTGCACCTTCGCTTGATCAAGCCAATTCCCAGAGGGACTGGTAATCTCTAGTGGTTCCGACATTACTTACAACACACTTACCCAAAGTCGAGTGTTTGATGTGCAGAGATGAATTTAGATAAATTTAATGTTTTTTGGGAAGATTTGAGGGCCCTAGAAAATTCTCGAATCTGATCTCTCAAGATGATATTGGATTCGAGTGCTCTTTTTTCGTAAAATACTGATCAAGTCCTGACTTTCGTATTGATTTTTTGATGAGCAGTATGTAAATTCTGTCTTCACCACTTATTCATCAAAAATGTCGAGATCTCTTTCTCACCTATTTTTATGGCAATTGTCAGAAAGTTTTTCATGTGAAGGGTTGAGAAAATATACATTTGTATTTACTATATATAAATAGTAGTTTTTTCATCTTTTCTGACAGCTGAAGAAACCAAGATTCATTCAAGCATTGTGTTGCACATGATCAGAAGTACTCTTTTTAAGAATTCATTTGTTGTCTAACTAATTTCAGCTTGTTCAATTTGCACAACATGCAAAAAGTCACGATAAAGACCAAAGGCATTCCAAAGGTGTAAACTATGGAGGATGTGAAGGGGTGTGTGAAATAATTGGATAAACAATAAGGAAATAATTCAATGAGACGACTCTCAGCCAATAGTTGAACCCATAAAAAGAAACCTATTGGATACATGGCAATGATGAAAACATGCCAAAATCGAAAATGCAAGTTTGAGAGTAGAAACTCCGTGACAGCAAAAATTCCAACAACTCCATGAAAAGCGTAATTACTGTTTCAACAATGGATTTCAAAAAACGAAATAAAATTATAAACACTTACAAATAACCATCCATTCTCAGTGGTTTATACGGTTCAAAAGGAGCCATTACCCAAAAACCAACACAAACAATAATGCACGATGTCACCATCAATTCACCCAAGATCCAAATTACATTCAACCCTTGTTTGGTCCATATTGCAGATTCAAGAATCGATGGATCCTCGCTTTGTTGTTTTCCTTCACTCGTTTTAAACCAACCATAGTGAACAATTATTCCAATAACTGTGTGACAAGAGAAATACAAAGTGAACACCACAAAAGTTGCGTTCGTAAGGAAGGAGAAGAACGTCAAATGACTCTGTCGAATAAAGACCAATTGATAGAGCAAAAGAGTGGCATGCGACCAAACACAAGCACAGGCTCTAAATATCAATAGCGCTGTGGAGTACTGAACAGAGTGAGAGGAGGAATTTGTACTTTTTGGAGAAAGAAGACTGGATTCAAATAG